AAGCCAATGGTGGAAAATCACCCAGAATGTTAAAAAAATAAAAAGACCTAAATTGCACATTACAGGAGACAAGATTTCAGATTCTTTTCTCTTTCGTTTTTCGGTGATGCACTTTATGTAGTTTGGCTATGCTGCTTTTTAAATGCTTCGATGAACAACGTCTACGGCGCGTTTCCGAGAGAATAGTAAGATTAAAAGACACCTCTTAGGGGTCCCCAAGGCCCGGCGTTACTTTTCACTTGCTCAAAATATACGAGTGAACCAATGAAACCTTTTACCTGACCTCAACTAATAGATTTGGGAACCAACGACCTGATCAGATATGTCGAGCTTCAAGTATTTCTGTTTTAAGCAAAAAATTCAGAAACTCTATATGTACACTTGAGTTGAAATCAATCGTAGTTATTATATGGAACACTTGTATCTAAATAATCCATAAAGCCATCCTCTTTTTTTTTTCTCCGTTTTGTGTCGTCTGACCAACCCAATTTTTTGGCATTTTCAAAAAAATTAACGTTGTAAAACTATTTTTCACTTTAAACATTTCTTTTAATCTGAGAAATGAGCAAAGCAACAGCATGGAGAAAAACAGGTACAAGAACTGGAAAAACTTTTTCCTACGTTGTCTGCTTTTGTTGTTTTTCCAGACTCTACAGCAATGATGCTGGTGTACTCGGCTTTCTATTCAAAGACCTCTTTTATTTATTTTTTTTTTTAGGTCGGTTTTCCTTTTTCAGTGCGACGACCCAATATCAGGCAACGCATTTGACGCCAAACGAAAAAAAAAAAGGATGGCCTAACAATGTTTTAATTTGTGTCGTTCTTTGAGAAAGGACAAACTTAGCCAGTCTTTGAATGTCGTGTGTTTACTGTCGTTTCAGAAAGTTACGATATACTTATTAACCAGAAGAGATACAAGTTTGTAAGCTTCTAGCTGCTATTGTGCTTGTGACAAATATAATTATGATAAACAGCAGACGATGAACTTCGAGTTTACCTCTCGCGAGCGATCC